CCCAGCCCAGCCCCTTCTGCTGCCAGCCAAGAGCACCCATCCCTGCCCCAGCTGCTGCCTGAGCCCCAGCCTGGGAGCACCCCAGGGGGGCCCCCATGGTTCCTGGATCCCCCTCACCTCCCCAAGCCCCTCTCAGACACCCCTAAAAGCTCCCACTTGCCCATGGACCCGGGGCCATCCCCCCTGCTCCGGGAGGTGCCCCACCTCCCATGTCCCATCCCTGTGGCTCCCAGATCCAGGGCCCCGTGTCCTGAGCAGGCTGCAAGGGATGCCCAGGCAGCCCAGGGCGCGGGGATGCCACCTGGCAGGGGGAAGAAGCCGTCTTTCTGACCCGGCACAAATGCGCCGCAAACGTTTGCCAGCGGAAGAAAACGGCTGGGGAAAACAGCCTGCTGCTGCCACCCCCTGCCAGCCGGCTCCTGCCAGGAAAGGCAGCGCAGCAATGGCCTCGCAAGGGCTGCCGCTGAGAAGCAGCTGCCTCCCGCTCCCCTTTTAAGTGGTCAAAGGTATAATTAAATCCCCCCTTTGCTTTGCCTCCCCCAGGCTGGTTGTGCCCTGCCGCCCCCGGCCTCGTGGACCCGGCCGTGCCGCTGCCTGGGCGTCTCTGCTGAGCTCCCCCCAGCCTGCTCACGCCTCGCTCCTACTGGGAGCCCGGGCTGGAGCCAGGAGCGAGGGGAAGGCTCCCTGCCCACCGCTCCGTCGCGTCGGGCCATCGTCACGGCCCAGATAATCAGTCAAAAAGAAAGCAAAATGGCCTTTGCCTTGCTGGGTTGTGCTCAAGCGTGCCCAGCGACGCTTCACACCGAGTTCAAGAGCGATGAGACCTTCCCGTGTCCCCAGTCCCACCCCTGGTGCAGCCGTGGCCCCCCCTGGGTCCTCCTGGGGGTCCCAGCTCTCCTTTGCGTGCTCCTTTCCGAGCCCACCATGAACACTACATGATCCATCCTGGACGCCCTCGTTAGCGTCAACACCTTGGGTGCGTAACGCCCTCGTTAGCATCAACGTCGGCCTATGCGGCTGCCCCCCTGCCGGGATGGTAACGCCGCACCCCCGGCTCCCGGCCCGCCCGGGGCACGGCGGCCCGTC